TCCCCTACCCCGGTGGACTCCTTCAGTGGCTCCTACAGCCTAGAGAAGAAAATAGCAGTTCTTCAACATGGCCCCAAGGGAGTTTCTTGACCAGCCCCTGTCTACCTCTCTGTCATCTTCTCCTGGTCCCATGCACTTTACAATCCGGGAACACCAATTTTCTTTGGGTTCTGTACATACTGCACCACATTTAAGTACCAGATGCTGCTATTCATACTGTTCCCTTCTACGTTGACAATTTCGTTGCTTCTCTTTGTTTCACCATGCAGACGTGCCCAAACAAGACGTTGGTCTGGCTTTGAACTTACGTGACTGGAAGAGTATCTGGCTTCTTGCAATCAGCATGCTTATGAGAGTCATCTGCTCTCCTGTAGATGGGTATTTGAGGTGTTTCAAGTTTGGGGGCGGGGGGCATTAGAGATAATGCTGCTGTGAATATTCTTGTACGTGTCTTTTAGCGCCTAGAAGTTCTCATTTCTCAGAGGCATCTACATACCTGAGAGTAGAAACACTGCATGAGAATTCCTATCAGCCCACAACCTTTTCAACGCTGGGGACTGTCAGACTTTTAAAAGTTTTGCCAATACATGGGTGCAGGATAGTATCTCACTGTAGTTTGAATGTACATTTCCCTGAACACAGATGTGACCAAGCTCGTACTTACCTTTCAAGATTCAGTTCTGACAGCATTCCCAAGAAGTTCTGCTTGACCCCCCTATCCTGGCCCTAAAGCCCGGGCATCTGCCTTTGTGAGCGCAGGCGGCACCCTGCATGGGAATCAGCACGCAACTGAACTGTTTTCCCTCTAGGCCAGGCACTCCTTGAAGGAGGCCACTGTTTGATGCATTTTTCTTTCCAAGTAAAAACCAGCTGCACAGGTCTGGGTCACAGTACACAGTGTTTGTTGCAGTGACCTTACTTTATAAAAGCACTTCTGGCTCTGAGCGTTAGTCTCATCCATAAAATGACCAAAAAAAAATACATCCTATCAATCTTATGAGGTCATGGGGATGCTGGATAGCTAGCGTTCGGCACATACGCCCCCTGATAAAAGGTGGTCCGGGTGCACCCGGTATAATTGTCAGGGTTCTTTAAACGTCAATGAGGGACGCAGAAGAGTCAGCGTCCAGACATTTGAAGACAGGGGAACAGGCCACGAATCAGGAGAAGCTAGAAAAGGCAAAGGACTCTCCACTAGGAACATAGCCCTGCTGATACCTTCATCTTAGGCCAGTGAGACCTATTTCAGACTTGTAATCACCACTAAGTTTGTGGTGATTTCTTGTAGCAGAAGCAGGACACCAATACACGAGGCAAATGTTCTTTTGGGCCACAAAGCTTGTATGTGCACAAGTGGTTACAATGCATTTTCTGGGAAGGGCCATTTGAATTGTAAGGAACCTTCGAGAATGTGAAGTCCATACCTTAGCTGAACAGATGGACCACTGAGGCTTCCTTCAGGCCATCAGACTCATAACATCTGGGAGGTGGGAGGACCTCACACCTTCCATCCAACAAGCAGTTCCAGAGCTCAGACGGGAGCCCGGGTCTCCACGCGCCCTGACTACGGCAAGTCTGTGAGATAAAACTCCTGAAACGAGCGAGGTGAACAGCTTTCTCTAATTTCTGTGGCATGCGCATGAAATGCAGTCGATTTCAGCAGCACATGAGTATTACCCACTGTAAACAAGTAAGTCATGTTCTCCAAAGCTACTAGAAAACAAACTATTAGGACTTAACGGTCATGTCCAAATGTGTAGCCGGTAGCAACCCTACGTGGTTGTGGTTCCGTTACTGCCTTTGCAAATAAGGACTAATCTGCATCTGAATCTAAGCCTCATAAGGAAACGAGGAGGCTTGGTTTTGCTGATTGTTAATACAGAGGATTTTGCTAATTCCTTAAACTAGAAGCCCACCAGTAGATGTTGGTGGGCTAGACTCACTTCAAGCATTGGTACTCCAGCATTGTGCTTTCAGTGAGTGATTCTGTGAACCTAAAACAATTCGACCACAATCTGTTTCAGACAGGGCATTTTTCTGTAAATGTGCTAATCCTGTTTGTGGGATGCACGTTGCATACGTCTATTTGCTTTGGGTGTGCCCTGCGCTTTTGCTTTGATGGCCACGTCCTCCAGTCACAGGTGTACATACTCTGTGAAAAATTCTTGCATCGAACTACGTTCCCTCGATACAGGCCTGCTTTTTGCCTGATGCCCCAAATGCCACAAGGGCTGCCCGAATGACTGATGCCACAAACCTGTGTTCTATAGAGGGGGCCGCAGGCGATGAGCCACCAGTCTGCTGGTTTGGAGAGTGTCGTTACTCCTGCCAAAAAAGCGTAAGGATAAGCTTTGCTGCATTGTCGAAAGTAGATCAGAAAGTGCTGGGACTACACTTAGGAAAAACTATTGTAGGATCCCAAATCCACAGGATTCCACATTATTTGAAGGGCTGTCCCAGGAAGAGGGATTATTCTAGTTCCTTCCAGAAGGCAGAGCTAAGGCTCTTCACTGGGAACACCAGAGAGATTGAATTCAGTTTAATACCTGTACACGTTTATTTGGATGCCGTGGGACTCTGGGCAGGTCACTGCATCCGTGGAGCAACGACATTCTCGTCAGGTGGAAAACAGGGATGACAAAAATACCACGTGGCCCATGGAGTTGTAGTGAGGACTAAACACAGCCATGTCTGAGGCAGAACCTTTGCGAAGTATCTCAAATACAGTTCTAAAAGAGACATGATCTTTTAAGAGTCCTATTCAGATTTTTAAAAAGTGGCTAATTTTAGTTTACTGCTAGAACTATTAAAAGCATCCTTAGAATGCAAATGTAATTTCCAACTGGCTGTATCTGAGAAAACATTGAATTCTTACCAAAAGGGACACCGCGTATGGCTTGCTCCCACCAATGTCTTAGCCTCCCTCAATGGCAGCCGCTATGTTCTGCATCCAGTCTGAAGTCTTGGGTCTATGCACCCTGGCTCTTTTGCAGAAGCTCTCCTTACTTTAATAAAGACAGTTGTGGCTTAAAATCGGCACTGTTAGGGGCGCCTGGGTGGCTCAGTGGGTTGAGCCTCTGACTTCATCTCAGGTTATGATCTCCCAGTTTGTGGATTTGAGCCCCATGTTGGGCTCTGTGTGGACAGCTCAGAGCCTGGAGCCTGCTTCGGATTCTGTGTCTCCCTCTCTCTCTGCCGCTCCCCTGCTCACGCTCTCTCTCTTTCTCTCTCTCTCTCTCTCAAAAATAAACACTAAAAAAAAAAAAAAAACAAAAAAAAAAACCCAGCACTTTTAATACACTCAAATGTCCCATATTGTCACAATTTTGGGAGAGCCCTGTAAGGTCTCTAGTAAGATAAAGCACATATGTAGCAGAGCCAGGAAAAGAAGACACACACACACACACAGTCACACCCCCGAAAACAGAGTGCTATGTTTCGTTAATATATTTATTACAGCAGGACTTTAGTCATTATTGTCATGAAAACTTTTTCATGAAATTTCACAAAACCCTTTAAGCTATTAGTATTAGCTTTCTTCTTTTTATGGAGTGACACTTTGTTAATTTATGAAATATTTACAGCGTTTACAAAAAGCAAGAGAACGTCTAATAAAATTTCTTATACATACAAAATTTATACATTATACTACTATATTTGAGATGTCTTATTTGGTAGACCAATTAAGCTAGGACATAAAATAATTTACAAAGATATACTTAATCTCTCTTAATTCATTGAAAACAAAACCATATTAGCTATAAATAGTCCTTTACAAATCACTGTAAAACATTAATTGTTTTAACTCTAGCCTTAACTTTTACAAATATACTTAACTAAATGAATTAGTTCAGATATCAAATAGAACTGCATTTGCAATTTCATTTACTACTATTACTACAAAAAGCAACAACAACAAAGAAACAAAAAACCCAAAACCTGAAAAAGCAAACTGCCGGGTATACTTCAAGTAAAAATTTGTAGAACCAGTTTAATGCACGCTTGGGGGGAAGGGCATCCAACACCATGTAAATGGAAATACAATACTTTGAAGAATACGCTCAACAAATGTACATCTGCAGCTTTTATTTCAAAGAATGATGCTCTAGCAACAGCTCATATGTCCGAGATGGTCAACCCTACGCTTTGGCAGATAAGCTGGTCTGACTAGAGCGATGTTTGCGAAAACAGTCACCTCAGCAGCATAACGCCCCCGCCATCCTCAAACAGTGCTATATGAGGAGTTTTCCATAACTGGAAAGTGGGTCAGAATTTTAGGCAAGCTCATGGAAGAACTCAGAAAATAGAACGGGCAAAACGTTAAAAAAAAAAAAAAAATCAAATCCTATTTGACTGGGCCCCATCTGTGTAATATAAAAATACGCTCCTCTTGAAAATTAGGGGAAAACACTTCATATTCTAAAATTTCAAACTAATGAAAAACTCATCTACACAGCTATTTCTCTTTAAGTCACCACTTGACGATGGTATAAAATTTGGCAATTATTTAAACACCTTGCTTTTGGATGATGCCTCAGAAGAAGAGCTCAATTTGGTTTTGGCAATAACATCTTTCACATTTGGATTCATTTTAGGTAATCCAAAGCAACTGTCGCGAGCAACCTAACGCAAATTCGTTTCACAAACACAGGTTTTCACTTTAGTTTAAAATCACGTCGTTCCAATTAAGCCCACAAAATAGATATTGTATACATAGTATTTCAAAAGAGGTAAATTAAATTTAATCTCTCAAAACCTGCTCTTGAAAGGTGTTAGCATTTTCCAAAACCTCATCTTGGCTCCTTTCTTCTGATTGCCGTGTAGATGCTAGAGTTTTCTTGTAATATGTATTCTAGAAGGCACATATTCAAGAGTTTAAGATCGTGTTAGTTCCAGTTCTACATGGAGGCAAGTATTTCAATCTACTTTGTACAGAGGCCCCTGATGAAAGGCCACGACGTCCTCTGCCCAGAGCTGCGCTGTGGCGCCCAGGTCCTGTCTCAGAAGTGGGTGTGCACATGGGGCATCATCGGCGAAGGGCCGGCTGGCGAGGTGGAGGGCTCGGCGAGCTTGGCGGAGCCGGCGAGCTGCAACTCCTCGAGCCGCTGGATGTACTCGTCACGCAAGGCCAGGAGCTCCACGTAGCGCTGTTCCACTGGGTTGGGCTGCTGCAAAGAGCACAGACGGGCGTTAGGGCTCTCCCTGCCCACGCACAAGGGGCCCCGATCCACACAAGGGTCCCTGCCACGTGCACAAGGGTCCCCCATGTTTATAGCAGCACTGTCAACAACAGCTAAAGTCTGGAAAGAGCCCAAATGGCTGGCCATCGATGGATGAATGGATAAAGAAGATGTGGTATATATAGACAATGGAGTCTTACTCAGCAATCAGAAAGAATGAAACCTTGCCATTTGCAACTATGTGGATGGAACTGGAGGGTATTATGCTATGTGAAATTAGTCAGACAAAGACAAAAAGCATATGACTTCACTCATATGAGGACTTTAAGAGACAAAACAGATGAACATAAGAGAAGGGAACCAAAAATAATATAAAAACAGGGAGGGGTACAAAACAGAAGACACTCATAAATATGGAGAACAAACTCATAAATATGGAGGGGTTGTGGGAGGGGAGATGGGCTAAATGGGTAAGGGGCACTAAGGAATCTACTCCGAAATCATTGTTGCACTAGATGCTAACTAATTTGGATGGAAATTTTAAAAAATAAAAAATTAAAATAAACAAACAAAAAAAAACCCCAGCACAGACCTCACAGGGTTGCCGCACGAGTGAAGTCAGCCAATACAGTCAGCTTGGACGATTTCTTTCATTGATGGACAGGGGCCTTGCGGCAGTACAAAGGTTAGAAGTCAGGCGGGAACAGAGTGTGCATCTCCCCAGCCTGCTAACTTTCAAAACCTTGGTACTGATATATAAATTAACAGGCAGGAATGTGCACGAATCTTAAAATGCTCAGCTCAGTGAGCCTTTACATATACGTACACTCATGTAATCAGCACCCAGACCAAGATACACGGTAGGGTGGCCCACCGAAGACTCCCTCATCACCAGCGTGTTTTGAGGAGATCAAAGGCAAGCTCCTAGAAAGCTTGAGCAGTATATGAAGACATTAAGAAAAAAGCCAAAAGTCTATACAAGTGCGTTCCTACTGTGTTGAGCTGAGCAGCAACAAGGAAGCTGTGAAGACACGCCTGATATGCAGGCCGCAGCCCGCACCGCACGCGGAGGACAGCGGGCTGTGGTAGGGGCACAAGCCCTCTGGGACCTGTACCTCAAGGAGGGAGCATGAGCCCGGGGCTTTAAGATGGTGTCTGAGCTTCCTCTGGCTGCCATGACACATTAACATAAAATGGGGCGGGGTGCTTAACACAGCAGAAATGTACTTTCTCACAGCCCTGCAGGGCACCAGCCTGAAATCAGGCCAGCGGCAGCGCTGTGCTCCCTCTGGAGGCTCCAGGGAAGGGTGACCTCTTCCAGCTTCGGGTGGCTCCAGGCTTCCTTGGCTTGTGACTGTGTCCCTCCCTCCCTCCCTCCCTCCCACCTCTCCTGTTTTCGCATGGCCTTCTCACCGTGAGTGTCTGTGGCTCAAATCTCCTTCTGTTTTCTCTTACAAGGACACCTGTCACGCAATATAGAGTGCACTGCAAATCCAGGAAGATGGCATCTTCAGATCCTTAACCTAGTAACATCTCTAAAGACCCTTTTACCAAATAAGATCACACTTACAGGTTCGGAGGGGCCACGTCTTTTGGGGGAGACCACTCAACCCAATTCAGGCTGCCAAGGAGTGGTTGACAGAGGCCAGATGAAATGCCACAGATGTGTGATGGTGCATGCATTTCTAGTGGCACTGGTGCTTCCATTAGAGCTCTGGTTACAAAGGCCCACAGGCCAGAAGAGGTCTCCTCCTCCCTCCTAATCCTATTCTTCCTGTAAACCGTGTTTTTTTTTCGTTTTTTTTTTTTTTTTACCGTAACTGCAGAACGCGAGGTTTTCCAGAAAGATGCATATGGCATTGGAACAGGAATGCTTGGTAGAGCGCCTGATACCCAGTAAGTGCTGTGCGTGGCCTGGTAATGTCTTTTGTCCATCTTTCTCTGTGTATTCAGCTGAGGGCAGACACTGTTCCAGGCGCTTGGGACCCATCAGTGAACAAAGGAGCCCCAAATCCCAGTTTTTAATGCCATTTCTCTTCCAGCAGAGGGAGACAGACAGAGAATACTACAGGTCTGAGTTACAGAAGGTAACACTCAGTAAGGAACACTATGGAAGAGAAGTAGAGCGGTGTAAGAGGGACAGGGCTAGAAGGATGCCACGTCAGGCCTCAGAGGCCATTGCAGGGACCTGGGCTTTGGTGCCGGGTGAGGGGACTGGTTCCCTGGACACTTCCGAGTGGAGGGGTGGTGGGATCTGGGATCCGCTTTGCAAGGCCTGCTCTGGTTACCATGTTGAGAATGTGCCAGAAGGAAGCAAGGGTGGGAATGGGGAGCCCAGCTACAAGGCTAGGCAGCATCACAGAGCCCGCACGGGGCCAGCAGCAGGGGGACTGGTGCAGAGTATCCAGAGTCCTATAGGTTCGGAGGGCCCAGTCCAGCAGGCTCTGCCGACAGACTGGATAAGGGGTGCGAGGGAGGAGGGAGTCAAGGAGGACTGCCCGGTCTCTGGCCAGAGTGACTAGGATGGGGTTGCCGAGAACAGAGATGGGAAGATGGCAGGAGGCACAGGTTCTGGGGGACGAAGAGTTCCATTTTAGACACGTCCACTTTGATCTGCTATGCCAGGCCTGTTCACCATCAACCGTCCATCCTCTCTGCTTGGTGTCACCTACTGGGCCCCACACCTGTACAGTCTGTTTCTGGGCTCTACCCTTTCGAATCTCAGGGCAAGTTCTTTCTCGAGATTCTCTCCTTCAAAACTGTCTTGGCTATTTTTAAAACTGTCTTTTCTTCATATGACTATGAGGATCAGTTTGTTATTGTACCAGCAAGCACAATTAGACAAGAAAAAGAAATCAGAGGTAAAACTCATTTTTGCAGAGGACAAGGCTGTATAATTAGAAAACTCGAGAGAGTAGACCAAAAAAATGACTAGAAATAAAACGAATTCAGTCCAGTGATGGGTACAAAATGTCCAGAAGGCATTAGCCTACAGAAACATACAAACCATTTAGAGGATACAAGGAAAGAGCCCAACAGACAAAACCATGAGAAATGAGGTTTAAATACAGTCAAGTGGCTATAAATGCCACGCCACGGCCTCTCACTCGGGACTGAGTGTGAAATAAAGAGTGTCGACACAGCACAGAAGACAGGCCCTCCTACTGGAGACGACTTCAGCACCACACAGGCCAGCCTGTCCATATCTGACTGTCCTCGTTCTCAACCTCTGGCGATCGCTATGCAGAGACGTGAGCTTGCCAGTGCCAGCCTGGTTAACAGCTGTAGGGAGCACAGCGGCCCCCGAAGTAGAATATGAAGCTCCCCAGCAGCCCAAGGCCCCACTCAGGTTTATAACAGGACTCACTGAATACTTGTGCTTCCGGCATGAGCAAGTCCCACGTATTAATACAGGTACCGAATTTGCTTATGGAGAGCTCCTCTAATGTAAGTACTGGTCTTTCCATCAACTCTGCCGAATTTTTATGTCATAGCAAAGGTTGGTGGCTTTTGCTTTTCAAAAGCACACACACCTGGGATGCCTGGGTGGCTCAGTTGGTTAAGCGTCCGACTCTTGATTTCAGTTCAGCTCATGATCTCACAGTTCTTGAGTTTAAGCCCCACGTCGGGCTTTGCGCTAATGGTGCTTGGGATTCCGTCTCTCTCTCTCTCTCTCTCTCTGCCCCTCCCCTGCTCGCTCACAATCTCTCTCTCAAAATAAACATTTAAAAGAGAAGAAAAGAAAAAAGAAAAGAAAAGCACACTAACCCTGCCTTATTCTACGCTAGAGCTCATCACAGGGAGGGGCTGGATGTAGTATATGCTTTTGTATCTTTCAGTACTGATGGGATACTTGCAGTGCTCTGAATGCTGTAGGTACCCAGTAAAGGTGTGTGTACCCACTGGGCCAGACAACTGAACAACTTAACTTTTAAGTGGTTAAGTGTATTTCTTTAGGTTTACATTCTGTAATTTAAGAAGTCCTATGTGATCAGATTTAAATCTATTTCTGTATGAAATAATGTTCTACATGAGATCTTTAAAGAAATCTAAGGCATTTAACTCACACTTCTATTATGACATTTCTCCCTGAGCACTATCATCATGGACTTATGTTCCTGGGAACCCCCATCAACCTGGGAGCTCCTGGGGGCTGACACTACCTCCTCTTAATCTCTGTGTCTCCCTCCCTGAAAATACAAAGATACATGTAGAAATCTACAGAGAAAGCGTAAGTTACTTTCTTTTTTGAGTACTTTCACAGATCATAATATAGACCAATTACTGTCTCAACATAGAAACCTCTATCAAAAAATCTGTGTTCCTATCTGGACCAGGCCCATTTTGCTAAGCTCTATGAAAATAAGGGGAGAGAGATGCAAGTTATTCTAATGATGTTTCTTCCAACTTGACTTGTCACCCAATTGTCACCTTTATATATTCAGAAATGAATTGTTCTAAATTCCTCCAATCTTAAGAGTTTCTCCAAGTACAAATGGGTGAGAGGAGATTAAAGGATCTGTACAGAAATTGTTGATACTTTCTAATTACTAATGGTTTAAAAAAAAGGCTACAATAAATACATAAAAGGATCAATGTGCAAGACACAGTGCACATCTATAGAATATTTTCTAATTAGAAAAGGAACATGTCCTCTGTAACAGTTAGAACCCTGGCAAAATTCCCATTTCCTCTTTACTTGATATTTCAAATGCAAGAACTACTGTTGAGTAAATTCCCTCAACATGCTTCTCAAATCCCAAACTAAGCAAGCGAGTGCTCTCCAGCCCTGGAATCTGTCACTTTCTGAGAGATTACACATTGCTACCATTACCGAATTGCAGAAGCCTTTCATGTGAGCAGCAGAGACCTTGAAACGAGAGTGCCAGCTAGGAGCGGGCATTCCCCAGTGGGAAGAGAGGGCACAGGCTGGCCTGTGGCCAGCTGCCCGAGTGGGATAAACAATCGAAGAGACAGACCGCAGAGCCAGGGCCCTGCTGTCGCCCTGTGACTTCTAGAGGGATTAAAGCTGGCATTGACGCCACACCGGCCTGTGAGAACAGGTAGTCAGTCGACCATCCACACTGCAGGAAAACGTGCAAACCTTTACAAAGAGCAATTGCAAATACTGAAGATTTACCACGCTTAAAACAAATCATGAACTGGCAGTGCTTCCGTGCCTTTACAGCGCAGGCTGTACTTTTCTTTGATTTTGGAGCGGAGCGGAAGGGGGAGAATGGAGAAGCCCGAGTGTGTCTCCAACAAAATGTGGAATCTTTTGCTTCAAAAATCAGTTTCCCGTTTTGATTGATAAATGGCCAATCTATCCACTGACAGATCACTTATCTGTATTTTAGAAGACATGCCCCTCAGTGAAATGTGGTCTGATATTAGCTGACCTGGTACATACACCTGGGGTAGATACTGGAAAATATTTTCTTTCTTTGAACGATCATCTAAGTCTACTTCCTGGAAAGAATTTTCTTATGATGTGCAAGAATGTCCACTAATTGAAGGAAAACCTTGGCTATCAAAACTCGAAAATTTTCCAGAGCTTCTAATCAGTTTAAATTTTAGTAAAAAAAATTGTATTATTATTTTTGTAATGTTTATTTACTTGAGAGAGACAGAGACAGAGGCACAAGCACGGGAGGAGCAGAATAAGGGAGACACAGAATCTGAAGTAGGCTCCAGACTCTGAGCTGTCAGCACAGAGCCCGAGGTGGGGCTCGAACTCACAGACTGCAAGATCTTGACCTGAGCTGAAGTTGGACGCTTAACTGACTGAGCCATCCAGGTGCCCCCAAAACTGTATTATTTATTTATCTATCTAAGAAAAAAATTTTTTTTACATTTATTTATTTATTTATGAGAGACAGAGAGAGACAGAGCACAAGCAGAGGATGGGCAGGGAGAGAAGGAGACACAGAATCCGAAGCAGACTCCAGGTTCTGAGCTGTCGGCACAGAGCCTGATGCGGGGCTCGAACTCACGAGCTGTGAGATCATGACCTGAGTGGAAGTAGAATGCTCAACCGACTGAGCCACCCAGGCGCCCCCAAAATTGTATTATTTATAGGAATATAAGTTAAAGCCAATCAAAATAAGTGGCTTAGCAATTAAAGCTGCATTTGAAAGCAAGTGTATTTTTTTGTCTATTTTCCCCCTCATAATATTTTTGAAAAAAACTACCAAATGACATTATCTAAGTCTAGAAGCAATAATTAATACACATCACTGCCTTTTAACAATGTCATTTCACTTACTTGTTGCTTGATTCTGGGGTTCCATCTAATGTAGTAATTCACCCAAAGTTCCAAGTGACGCATACTGGCAACTGGATATAAAACTCGATTGATTTCTTTAGTATAGAAGGGGTTTTTGAATTTGTCTTTATTACTGTTTATCAGTGACCACAAAGATACTGTTCTTTCTGTAACTTTCTATAGAGAAAGAGAAAGTGGAAAGCCTAAGTAAAAACACACAAGTACGCGAACCATTTTTCAGCCTGTGGCAATACATTTGAGCTTCAACTTGAATCACACATTTACATTATCCCCATAATGGCTCAAAAAGCCTCACGGGCCAGTGAGTGCCCAGCAACCACTTCCTGATATTTGCATAGATAATGGCCTAGCTTGAGAGCCACTATTTCTGCCAGAAGACAGAGGTGCAGAACGCTGTACCATTAAATGCAATTCACTGACCTAAAATGACTGTTCCTGGCGAGGTAAAACATTTATGAACACATATCTGGGCAGTATGTTCTTTTTAATTCAGCAGAAAGAAAAATTATCGCAAGATCCCGCTGGCTCTTTTCATTTTTAGATTTGTTAGGACTGTAAGGTCTTCACCTGTGCCTACTTGACAGTTGGTATCTAGACATAAAGTGATTTTAAGCAACCATCCAGATGTGTAATCTTTATCATATGCTGCCATCCAGGTATTTGAAAACACCTAGATAACGGACTTCAATCTTTACTTTCTCATTCAGTGTCCATCATCCCACACAGAGATTCACATTTGCAGTTTATTATAGATTGCTACCAATTTTGAGCATAAACTAGGAAGAATCCAATGCTTGGGAAATAAAAGGTACAACTACTAAAATTACCAACAGCACAATGTGAAATTCTTCCTAGTAATGACTTCAATAAGAAAGGACCAATAAGCTAAAACTGGATGCTAAAAAAGAACAGCTTGAAGCCAGGAACTGAAGACATGTCTTTAGCATGCATATTTCATTAATGTGTGAACAATAACAATGGCAGCAAAAGTCTGCCTTCCTTGGAATCCACCTAAAACTTCATTTGTACCTTTCGGATGCCACAATCTATATTGCGTTGGGTTTATTTGCATGCTTGTTTTTATTTTTATACATGCACATAGTTTAAAAGATCAAATAGCCTGACGAGGTTTGTTATAAAAAGATTAACTCTCTCACCTCTCTCCACACAAGCAACTGTGCTTGATTTTTTTAAGTTGATTTGATTACCTGGTACTTAAGCTCCACATCTCTAGATAACATGCCCTCCTTGCTCCCTGGGGGCTAAACGGCTCCGGGCACTCAGTCTCTTTCCTGCCTCACCCCCCACCCCCCCACAGCTTTCAAGAGACTGACGTTTAGTGTTTTGATCACTATCGCGAAGCAAATGCTTTTCCCAGGCAGGCTACATAGTCACTTTTTCTCCCCAATTTTTGTCGTCTTCCCTTGGTTTAACAACTGCCTATTCCGTTTGCTAACTTTCCTTGGCATTTACCAGTAATCCAATCCCCAACTCTTCCTCCAACGTCTCGAACTTCTGTCAAGACACTGTACGTTCAGAGCTCACAGTCTGATCCTCGGAGGAAAGCAAGCTGCACCGGGTGCTTCTGTGTCTTGTGTCCAGCTCGCGTCTATGATCTCTTTCCTGTTTCGCCCTGAGCACCCCCTCTTGCCTCTCTCTGAGCTGGATTCCAGTCTCCTTCCTTGTTTACATGGAGCAGACGCTCTAGCAGCTTCGAGAGAAGCTGGTGTCGGAGGGAAGTCTTGATGCCATGCATGTCTGAGAATATCTTTGGCCTACCTAGTCATTTGTTTGACGGTTTGGTGGCTGGAGAATACTAGGTTGAAACCATTTTCCTTTAAAATTCTGAAGGTAGGGGTGCCTGGGTGGCTTGGTTGAGCGTCCGACTCTTGATTTTGGCTCAGGTCATGATTCCAGGGTTGTGGGATAGAGCCCCTCATCAGGCTCCGCACTGAACGTGGAGCCTGCTTAAGATTCTCTCTCTCTCTCTCTC